TTGCCATCAAAAACCCGGGAAACAGCTGGTTTTTGAAAAGAACGATGGTTGAAAAGAATGGAAAGGGAAAATCAACCGCTGGAATAGTGGGGGGTCGATATCCGCATGGGTGAGGTGAGCCTGCACCACGGAGACAAGCTGCTGCTGCAAAACTACTGTCGTGGACTGGAGAACGATGGCCGGCCAGCTGGCACGTGCCCGGGTGAAGTTGGCGCCGGATTTTAATAAACCGGCGAGGACTTGAGGTAGGTTCATATGGGCCGGGGCTTTTGTAAGGCCATATAAATCTGTATGTCCATCGTGGTAGTTGGACTTGGCTCCAAATCGGAAAAAAGGGAGCAACTTCAAGACGAGGCAGTTTCCTTGTTTCTTTTTGAGCGTGCCAAAGACGGTACTCTCAAAACCGACATGCGCGTTTGGAACGGGTTAAACTATGGGTTCGATTGTCCAACTGCGGCGCTTCTGCTGTATGACACCTGAGATCGAACAGACCAGTGGGGGAGTCACCAAACATGCTCCATGACTATATGCATGGTAAAGTTGTGCGGCTTTTCTGACGTATAGTTTCTCAAATGGATTACAGCTTGCCGACCGCGTGAGCTATGAAGCAAGCGAGGGCAATCTGTTCAAAAGTTGGTTGTGACGCTGTTCACTTGACCACCACAAATGTGTATGGGGTCGCCTGATTGCTGCATGGCTTACTTTGCTGCAAGCGGCAAGCAGGCAAAGTCGACGGCCAAACAAAGTTGCAAGCAATCGACTGCGGCAACTCTTTCAATGAAGAAGGCATGCTGAGTACTACCAGGATGATCTGGTTTGAATGCACAGTATGTTTCGGCAGAGCTTGGACGATAACATCACGCTACCTGCGTTAGCTAGTCCGAGTGACTGCCTTCCTTCATCAGAGCTTTTCAGACTGCCTAAGGGCCTAGCTTGGAGCCGGACTTCACGAGACTGAGGAGTGGCGTGTTGCCATTCGAGCTTGACTGCAAGTTCGAGGGTCAAATCCGGCCAGCCCCTCCTGTCCCATTTCTAAACGGAAAGCATCCCTTGCAAGGAAGCCCATGCTACACTTGCCTTTCCAGGAGACACGGTTCGAACATCATCACGAACAGGAACCTGTATACATATATATATATATATACACACGGTTTCTTTTGAGCCGGAAGAAAACGGAGGAAGGCTTCTTGATATCCTTCATCCCTGCTTAAGCTTGCATTGAAAGAAAACCACTAAATAGCCTTCATTGGTTGGGCTCTGGCAAACAAACGTTGACAGCTCCCATGGTGGGCAAGCAGGTGCTTGATGCACGTGTTTTGCTGCCTTCATGGCCAGAACAAGTTCCGGAGAAAACGGCCTGAGGTACTATAAGCACCACAAGGCCCTCAAGATCGGGGATGGCGGCATTCGAATCTGGCCTGGCCTGGAGCACTGAGGCGATCGCAAGTTACTGGCCCTCGAATTCTCGGCCGGTTCCTGAGTTTGGTTGGCTCCTTTACTTTTTCCCTTGGTTCTTGGGTTTGACGGGAATGGTATTGACCTTGCGGCAGATGCTCACACTTCAACCCAAATTGTCTAAACTTGGTGGTTCCCAGCCATCCGGTTCCTGAGCTTTTTAGCCTTTCAGTGTTTAGTGGTATTCTTTCCATTTGACCCACCAATTTTCAGCGAGGGATCCGAAAACGGGCAGCCCAAGAAAAGCATCTCGCAGGCCTCAGCTGCCTTCAAGCAGCTCCTGGCCAGACTGCACGCCTTTCTGGTGTCCGGTGTCGCTTCTCCGCGCGCGGTGAAACGGGCGGTAGCAAACAAAAGCTGGGCTTTCGGTTGGCTTGAGCTGGGGTAGAAGTGGGACGTGTTATTTTCCCGGAGAGGAATTTGCTCTCGGCCGTTTGCCTGTGATTTCAAGGCCTTGTCTTGTTGCACAGACCAAAGGCGTTGCTCAACGGCTCTGCGACTCTGCGAACTGCAAGAGGAACCTGAGACCAGAGAGCTGTGTTTCTCGTGCCATAAGCTGTTTCTACCGTGTTTTTTTTGGCATCCTTATGAATGTTTGCAGTTTTGTTTGGTGAATCTTTAGCGCTGGCTGCCGACGCAAAACCTGCTTCCTCTGGAAGAACAGGGACTTGAACTAGGAGTATTCGTCTGGGGGGGGCTATTCTTACCTCTTAAAAACACAACTTTTCAACTTTTGGGGGTAACATGGGCTATATGTCTGTAAAAGATTAACTTCCCCAGGGCTTGGAGTTTTAAGGGGCAAGTATTTGGAGGAAATGATGAGACAGGACCAAGCGCTCCGTTGCTCCGGACACCGATCTCTTGCAAGCCTCGGCCTCGGCCTCTGTGTTTTCCGGGGCCGCGAAAGCAGGCGTGCATCCTGCAAAACGGCTCTTGCAAGACTAGGGGCTCGCAAGCTCAACATATGTTAGTAACTATGTGTTGCATTTTGCCAAGGGATGTTAGGACTTTAACTTGTTGCCAACTAATGGGTGTTCTTTTAAACCGCTAAAAGTGAAACTTCTAGCAGGGGAGGAGAAAGCAACCGAGAATTGCAAGTGCTTTCCGCCTTTGAAGGCCAGTCTGTGGTCAATTTTGGGTTGGGGACGCGGGGAACTCACTGATGTTTATCCACGAAAACAACTTTATTCCCATTTCCACACGAGCAGCGCTTGTTGACCGTGGCTCACATGAAGAAACTTATTTTTTGGGTGGTTGTTGTTGGGAAGCCCGACTTAAATCATGGGTCTTTGGGCGGTAGATCCTTTCAGCTTTCATGGGAGCTGCCTTCTGAACGAGTTTTGTTCTGCTTTTGCGGCCAGTCGACTCCAGCACTATAGCTTTTCGCCGTATCTCCAGAGGCTGCCGCAGGCTGCATCCAGATTTTCAAGTGTGGGCGGCTTTGTACGTCTATTGGGAGTGGGTTTCACTGACGCCAGCGACGTTCGAGATGCAGAGATGGCACGCACAACCTTGCTTGGCGACCCTTCAGCGGGAAAAAGCAGAGTTGTTTGACTGTTCCGTGGTGCTTGTTACAGCACCGGCGCTGCTGCCGGTTTTGTTGCTCTGAACTTCTGATTTGGAGAGGGGATGATCCTCGCGCAATGGACGCAGACTAAGGCATGAGGGGATGCCAAGGGGTTGCCTGGTGCGCTAGGTCAAGATGATAGCAACTTGCCGATGGCTTGGCAAAGCCCGCCGTGGGCATTGCACGTCCGCGTCTTCAGGCTTGGCTACGCATAGCACATTGGAATCAGTAGACTGTCGGAACCTGTGAAGCAACAGCAAAGCACAACTCTTTTACGCGTGTTTCGCCTGGTTTTTGGCGACACGGCCTGTATTGGCGCCCTTGTTTTCAGGCCACAGCCTTTGTTTTCACGGGTGTTTGCTTGTTGCATTTGAATCTAGCTGTGCCCGGGCAGCCGCCTGGCTTGGACGATCTTGGTCGGAGAGCTGTTTTGCACAATGCAAAAAGAGGACCCAGCGAGCAAGTGCAAGAGAGAGGTGCCTTTTTCCCAGAGGCAGTCGTATTTTTTGTTGCTGACCTCATATTTCCCCCAATGTCGAACTTTTTGACAACATCCCGGATCGTTCGACTTGAAGAAGGTGGTAGCTTCAGTCAGCGTATTTGTTTCTTACAAGGTGTCGGATGATATTTTGCATTCAGTCATGTCTCTTTACATAGGACGTTGTAGTTGTTGGTGCTTGTTGTGCTGATGAACACATTATTCGTAATAACCACGTTTAGGCCTGTTAAACGAGCGAACAAATGTGCAAATGCTTGTGTAAACATGTGCAAAATGTATGTGTCCATGTCTGGGCAGTTTATACCCAAAATGCAGAACTGCAGCAAACGTACCACTCTAAAGGCGACAAGATAGAAGCAACCGGACAAAGGAGAGATTACAATGGTTGTCTACAGGTCGTGCAGCTCCCACTGCCAGGAATTGAGTTTAGCTTTTACTATTGTATATACTTCAGCGAAGGGCTTTGGAGATACCGAGCAACTTGATCTTCAGCTGCGGTTGACCAACGCTCGAAGCTCGGTGAACAGCCGAACGAGAAGTGATGCCTCGGCCCCGTGAGTCGCTGAATCAACTTTGCGTAATTTTGAAAGGACGTGCGATTCCTCTTGAACAAGTTGATACAACAAAGTTCATTAAAAAACAAGGTCTCTAACAATGGCGCAATGAATGACATGCCGTTCCAAGGCTCCTCTTAAACAAGGTTCTTTGTGCCCGCTGGACATTTCCTGATTTGCCTTGAACTTTCTTTTCCGGGAGGGCATGCTGGGCCATAAAAAAAGCGCCTGGACTTCTGGCCAATCTCGAGGGAGGGTCTCGTCCCAAGTTCTTGGTGTTTTCTCCATAACTAGGTCCCCCAGCTATCTGCCCTTTCTCACCCCTTTTTTGGTTGGAAGCGTTCCCCTTCCAAAATAGACTTTACTGAAAAAAGTTCGTACCCTTCTTCTAACCTCTCTACTGTAGGAGCTAGATAAGTTGCCCCTGGCGATGAGACGGCTACTTAGACCGAAAGGCTTCGCAGCAACTTGATAGCGCCTGGTGTGTCACAGTGGCATCGTTTATCAGTTACCCTCCAGCCTGTCCAATCGCACAAGACAAAGCACAACGAATCGCTGCCCTCATTTGGCATGCAGTTCGTTCTCGCCTCCCTTCTAGTCATTTCTTGATTTTCCCAAGAAGCCCAAAAAAGGGCAGGACTAGGTCCCCCAGCTATCTGCGCTTTCTCACCCCTTTTTTGGTTGGGAGGGTTCCCCTATTAAAATAGACTACAGAAAAAAAAGTTGGCACCCTTATTCTAACCCTCAGTTGTCCAAAGCCAACCTTTTGACCTTTTGGTTTTCCCAGTTTGGTCCAGTTTTAGTCATGGCCCCAAAAGGTGATCACCTTTTATTTCTAGGTCCGAACTGGGCAAGTGAGAACCTCTCTACTGAAAAACCCGAGTTCATTCAACACCCACGAAAACGGAACTTGTCCTTCGTGCAGGTCGCGAGCTGCGCGGCCGCAAAGCTCGGGGAGCTGGCTGCTGAGAGTGTCTCGAAACTTGCGAAACGAAACCCGGGGGCGTTTTGGGCTCGGAAGCAACTCATGATCAACTTCCATGTGCTTAAGAATACCTGGGCCCTCCGGGTGTGCAAAATGTCCGCCGTTCGGCGGAGAAAACAAAAAGAGAGCTCTTTTTCTTGAAAGAGCACAACAAAAAGGAATTCTTGGAGGATCCAGGTATGTTTTTCCCCTTGTTCGGTTTAAAGGGAATCTATCACTAAAGAAAGTATGTTGTTTCCGGGGGGCTTAAGCAAAAGGGTGTCAACAAGATGGGTCAGAGGTCGGAGCACACCCAAAAAGGAGAACAAAAACATGGTCTTCCTTTTTGCTTCCCCGTTGAAACCAGGGACCCTCAAAAAGGACACACCCATATGGGCTTCTTAAGGGGGTTCTGGTGGTGGGAAACCCCAAAATGGGGCCAAAAAGGTCCCACTATGTCCCACTTGCAGCCACCCTTTGTAGAGCAGTGGTTGAATTGGCCGGGCACCTTCAAAGAACCTGGTTCCCACTTTGGCATTTGAGTTGGGGGACCCCTAGCTCACTTCCTGAGTTCATGAGCTTTAAGCTTTTTGGGTTTGGACCATATTACATGGTTGTCGTTGGGAAACATTTTGCATTTTTGCCTATTGTGGTTTAGTGGGAAATCCCCACTTAACTGCTAAAAATTATTTTTTTGCTCCCCTTCCAACGTCAACCAAGCTTAGTGGTAAATATAAAGTTTGAAGCCTTTTTTTTGGGCCATCCACTCAGCCAAGCTAGACATGCTTGGGCTGTGCTTGCTTTCCAAGATTTCCACGCATTCCAAAGAGTCCGGAATTTTCAGCACCCACTTTTTCAAGGATACTCCAAGTGCTTCGCAGTAGGTCAGAAAAGCATGAGGCTTGTCCACGCTGAAGGGTAAGCAGGTTGCTGACAGCTCGGAGCTCGTGATTCCTTCCTTGCATTTCGGAGCGCCACTTAAATTCAAGCTCCTACGACAGGGTTTGCTTGTTCTGGAAAAGCATGGCGTATCTCACCCCGGTTTTCCCTCCAGGTTGCATTCCTCAAGAAAAACCGCAGGCACAAAACCAAGCTATCTGGCCAGCAAATCCAGTTCCGCAAGTGAGGCAATGGAGCTTCAACTCCCTGGATTGTGTTGCTGCTTTCCGATACAACAGTTACCTCTTAAAAGCACAACTTTTCAACTTTTTGGGGGTAACATGGGCTATATGTCTGCAAAAGAATAACTTCCCCAGGGCTTGGAGTTTTAAGGGGTAAGAACAAGTCGTTTGTTCCAATCATGTTGGCCTTCTCGTTTCCTTTCTGGCCCGCTGTCTAATTTTAGAGATCAAAGCATGTTCGTGTCCTGGAGCTGATCAACAAGGGGCTCAGAATTTATTCAAACAGCCACTCCAGGTCCCCCAGTAGTGCCCTTTTTAACCCCTTTTTTGGGGGAGGGTTCCCCTACTAAAATAGACTAGGGAAAAAGTTGGCACCCTTATTCTATCCTCTCTACTGGAATAGAACCTCTCTTGCTTCGTCAAATGACGGCTATGATTCCTTCGTCATGGGCCATGCACGGTCAAGCCCTTGCTGCTCGATAGGTATCGCGCTTCGTAGCCAGCTCCTTGGACGCTCCATGTTCACTGTGAGCACTTGATCAGTCCGTATCGAGAGCCGGGGTCCTGTCCAAGTTTTCACTCAACACGTCTAGCGCCGCAGATGCCGAGACAGTCCAAGCAAGAAGCAAAGCTACCCTGACAATTGTGGCATTGTGCGTGGCGGTTTTTGCCATCATTGGAGGACTCAATGCCATCGTGCGTGCCTCGTTGATGGCGCGGCGGGCCGTGGCGTGGCTTCGCAACGACCTGCGGCTTCATGACAACGAGCCTCGGCATGCTGCGCCTGCAAGGATGTACAAGGTGTCGCTTGCGTTTCTTCACCTTTTCGCAAGAACGTCAAAGTCCCAACATCGGTGCGGTTTCCGCGTGCAAGTCCTTTTGTTACTTTTCCACCGATTTCACGGCCGCGGCACAAACGCCTCCGAGAAAGTACGGCTCAAAGAAGGAGACCCAAAGTGGCGGGTGTCCCTTGGATTTAGATCTCAGGTGTTCTCATGATTTGCCGTCCTCCTATTAAAAAATCCGACCTCCGGGCCCCATCTCGACCCAAGTGTGAACACGTCAAAACTCGGACGTAGATGGCAATGATTGGCAACGGTTTCATGGCTCCTGTTCAACGCCAGTCAAAGCACGCCCCCAACAAAGGCTACTCGACTTGACATGTTAAGACACTGGGCGTGTTTCCCGCTACTGATGAAGCCAAGCTCCGTGACGTCATGGCACATATCTGAAATCGGGCCTTGGCGGAAGCCATGGACGCTGCCGCTGGCGAGTGGATTGAAGTGCAGTGGCCCTGCCACGATCCTTCCGACGAGTCTTGGACCAAGTGCTTGGGCCGCTATGACTCACCAACCTTGACAAGAACTTGCGGGTGCTCAGGGAATGACCCAGGGTCTTGGGAACGAACCTGGGGGTTGCCTTGAAGGAAACCATAGTGTTTTTTTTTGTTTCTTTCGGGTCATTCTAAGAGCCAGCAAGATCAGGTCGCAAGCTGTCTCGGAGAGGTCGCAATTTTCAAGGGGGCCCCTGACCTGAAGGCTTGATGCACGCAACCTCTCCACCTATGGTTGTCGTTGGGAAACATTTTGCTTATTTTTGCTTATTGTGGTTTAGTGGTTGAAGTCCCCACTTAACTGCTAAAAAATGTGTTTGTTGCTCCCCTTCCAACGTCAACCAAGCCTTGAGCTTTGGTTTTGCGTGGCAATTTGGTCAACTGAACGTCAGCCGTCTTGTGAATGTAGCCAGCGGCAGTTTGGGTTGGCCGGTTGGTGTAGTGTGGGTTGGTACTTTTGGGTTAGTGTAGCGTATTGTTTGGGTTTAGAATGGGGCAGGTATTGGGGATAAGTTTGTGGGGCTGAGGATTTGATTTAGAGTTGGTTTGGCAGTTGGCAGTTGCGTTAGTGTCGGATCTAGGGTGCCTTTAGAGTAGGTTTGGAATTTGGGTGTGATTTGGCTTGAGGCTTGCGGTCGTAGGAATTGCTGGCTAGGTTTAGGGCAGGATGGGAAGCCGGAATCCCCACGGACCTCGTTCCTCCTTAGACTAATCAGCTGCCAGCTTGACTACGCGCAGCTTTCTTGAGGGCAAATAGGACAGGGCCAGATAGATAGCTAGCAGATGGCTTCACAGACGGGCCTATACGTATATAAATGCACATGTCCATTCGGCGTGAGTGTATATATGGAAGGCTACCCGACCTACGGGACCGCCGCATTTCTGGTCGGGGGAATATGTGATGCTACGGGCAAGAGTTCGTGGATCTCAGCCATGGGATGGCCTAGAAGAAAGGGGCAAACCTTGGATCCATATGGATCCATGACTTCCATTGGCTGAAATGAACATGCGTTATTATCCAATGTTGCACTTTGAAGGGAATCCATCACTACTGCTTTTTCGATGGAAGATGGGGTTGACGAATCTAGGCTCAGTTCTACGCCTCAGAATCTATAAGACGCCTACGATCCATAAGATTTAGGGGACTTCTCGGATTCATTTCTACCTCTTGGGACTTGTGTCTGGGTCCAATACCAAAGATGGTGAGAAAACGCGTCGCTTGAATTTTGGCGCTTGAGCCAGGAGAAGGGGCCGGTCGCGTTGGTGTGGTTCACCGTCTTGGTCCAAGAGGTGAAGGAGGGGCGGACTTGGTCAACCGCGCGAATCGGTTCTGCCTGTCAGAATCCCCGAGCGGCTGGACGTCCCTTGGTATCTCCAGGGCTTGCGTTAACCCCAAGAGTTCCTGGGAAGAGCGCTTTGTTTCACGGGGGCAGCCTTTTGATTTCCGAAGCATTTCAAGATATGTGATAATGAACGTTGAGACAAGACTGGTCTGGCAATTTTGCTGGAGCCGACCGTAGATTTCCATGCCCGCCACACGCCCACCCCATGTTTTCTCGCATATGCGCAAAAACCTCAGGTGTGCACTTGCCAGGGGCGACTGTGAGGCGTTCATGGCAACCAACGGTGGCTCTTGGGTTTGAGACACACGCACGAACAATTCCCGCTGCTTGCCGGGCAAATGTTGTAATGTTCCCGCAGGCTTGCTCGTTTTGTTTGACCATTGGCCGATAGATTGCATGTAGCAGTTGGACAAGACGGCCTTGACGATCTTTGGCCCCTTCGGCCTTTGGACAGTGAGTGATAGGTCCCAAGCAGAGTTCTCCAGGGGCAAATGAAGCTCAGCAAAACTAGGTCCCCCAGTAGTGCCCTTTATCACCCCAATTTTGGGGGAGGGTTCCCCTACTACAATAGACTACAGGAAGTAGTTGGCGCCCTTATTCTAACCTCTCTACTGGAAGACCTAGAAAAAAGCTCCGCAGGCTGATGCGAAGTGCAAGTACCTGCTGCGCTTCTCGGACGGCGAGCAAACTTGGAGTTCCCTCCGCAAGGTCACTTGGCGCAGGCGCGCCGCAAGCTGCGGTTACCACTCAGGTTTGATCAGGGGTCCCGGCATTTCAAGCTGTTATTCGAAGTCAAGCATCGAGGGTCGGCTCGTTTCCATCGATTTCGTATGATTGAACTGGAAAAGTGGGGAGCCCTGTTGGATCACGGGTTTGGAGCCAGCTGGCCGGGAGCGAGTGTCATCTTCAAGTTCGGGCCCTTCAGTTTCGGGATACGAAAGGCATAGCCAGCCCTGACTGACCAGGTGTCACACAGTCGGTGTATCCAGTCTCGGCCCTTCGCCCTAGAACCGCTCCTGTTTTCAGGCGGCGGGAGCGACCTGTTTGGGAGCCGAGCTGTCCATGTTCCTGCTTGAAGCCGCTTCAGTGGGGTGTTTTGCTGGCAACTGGTCAAGATGTTTGTGGCGACGGCACTTGCGCGCCGTCCCGCCCCTCATGTTGAGTTGACTTAGGGGGGGTAGGGGGGTGCTTCGGTC